TAGCCGTAAGCAACAAGACAATAGGCGTAGCCAATAGGTGTTCTTTTGTACCTCCACATTAGTCTGTATTTATGGCTGACACCAGCCAATCATATTACTGTGAGGGGGAACCCAGGTGTATGCATATTTATAACATCACTTTTGAAATACCTTTCCAAACAGTATTTGCAGAAGTCTCTTTTTTTTTAAATTGATGCGTTGCAATTTGAAAAAAAAAAGAAAAAAGAAATAGCTGAAGTGACTGCAGCTGTTAAGAATCGAAATATTTTATTTTTCACTCTAAAGAAATAATTCTTTTTCGAAGAGAGGATATTTTTCTTTAATAAGCTCTCTCGAATATTCAAGCAGGTAGATAAAAATAAATAAACATAGTGTTTAATAAATAAACGGAGCATCTACTCAAACATGTGTATCTACGAAAAAAAGGTGATAAAATTTCTCTCTCTCTCTCTCTGTCTCTCTCGAGTACAAAGAATACAGTGGTGAGCAAAAGAATTGATTAAAAAATTAATTTTATTACATTTTGCTAAGAAGCCTACCGTAATTTCTCGAAAATAATACGCATTTTTTTTACTGTAAATTACAGGTGTGTTATGGAGTAGTTTCACAGTGCAGGCTTGTATTTCACTAAGTCGGTCCTAAAAAAGGTTCGACGTACAAAACGTTAGGAACTTGAAATAATAGTTAATGACGCAGCAATCTAGTTGTGGTGGCTGATACTTTAATGTCCGACATCGACTGACTCACCAACTCACTGAGCGATATTCAGTCCCCCCCCCACGAGGGCATCATATGGCACAAAGCCGGTTTAACGTGGGATCTCCGAGCCCACGGGCTCGGTCAAAAATATGCCCTTTTTAAAACCTGTATAAACGGGTTCAGGGTCGGTTTACCTCCCCGAAAGAGAGTCCGTCCTTCGGCGTAGCCTCGTTCTGGTTCCTCCCCGCCCGATGGGAGAGAGTTCAACCGGTCAGCCGGTCGTCCGACTTCAGACTGAACTCAGACCGACTCACTGAGCGACTTCGCGACTGCTACTACTAATACTTATTATATGTGGGAGAGTCTATTAACAATAGAATAGGTATGTTCCAGTATAACAAGGTGATAGTAGCAGTTTTTCGTTATACATTTATAATAATAAATACGTAATTGTTGTTCTAAGGCAAGAAAGATATTATCCCAATTTTCATTTTAAATCCAACAATAATAAGTGTAACATTTTTTGTCAATAAATTTATGTTTATCAGTAACCGCATTTTTATTTGGCGAAAAAAATAAAAAAAATCTATAAAAAGGTCAATTTCGAAGAAAGAAGTTAACAATTTAATGAAATTTTAATTTTCATCATCACTACTTTCTATTATAGAATCAATATCTAAATTGTCATTAAACAAATTATCATTCACAATATTATCTTCGTCTTGTTCAAAATTATCTTCAGCCTCTTCATTCTCTTGCCAAAGGATGTCATCTTCAGAGCCATCAATGGCTGTCATGAGACAACACTTCCTGAAACGTCTCTTTATAACATCCTCACTAATGGAATTCCATTTTGGCGGGAAAATGAAAATGTTATATTTATCGGGAAAACCTCATAGTAATTTTCAACATTATTTTAGTCGCTTAGTTTCGATTTTATTCTTAATGTCAAGATCATCAAAATGTCTTCGTAATTATTTTTTTATGGCAATATTTATAGCTGCGTATTATACATAGGGATAGATATATTTCTTAATTTTTGGATCATTTGTTGGGGTGCGTATTATTTATGGGTGCGTATTATTCTCAAGAAATTACGGTATATTGAATCCATTGCTAGATCAGCTGCTAAGAAAGTTGGTTCACTGTGTCATGCGAGCCAATTTTAATCTCCATAATCTCTTATATATCTATTCGTCCATGCTTATAATATTATTGCCATTTATGGTCCATTGCCCCTGCTATTTGCCTTGAGCTCCTTGATGAGATCCAAAGAAGAATCAGCAATATTATTAGTCCTGATCTGGTAGCTCGTCTTCAGTTACTTTCCCACGCTCATAAGGTTGCCTCGCTGTGTCTTTTCTATAAATAATTGCCTTGTTCAGATGAGCTCTTCGCTATGGTACCTAAACTTTTAGAATTTAAGCACAGTACTAGACTGGCGTCAAGATCTCATCAATTTACTGTTCAGCTGGTTAGATATAACCGCAAGTTCTATGTTAGCAGTTTCTTTTCTCACACTTCTCGCTTGTGGAACACTCTTCCAGCTCTATGATTTCCAGCCAACTTTAATCTGAAAAAAAAATTATTACTGATTATTCTTTTTTCTTCCCGCTCATTATTAATGTTTCTGTTCCTAATTCTTCCACACCCTGTAACCCCTTGTATCTTAGTGGCTTTATTTCCTTGCTTGTAGAACTCCCTTCCGACTCCATGCTTTCCAGTCAACTTTAATCTGCAAAAATTTAAATGCAATATCAATCACTATCTCCTCCCCTCCTGATTATTCTTTTCTCTTCCCGCTCATTATTAATGTTTCTGTTCCTAATTCTTCCACACCCAGTAACCCCTTGTGTCTTAGTGGCTTTACTTCCTTGCTTGTGGAACTCCCTTCTGACTCGATGCTTTCCAGTCAACTTTAATCTGCAAAAATTTAAATGCATTATCAATCGCTATCTACTCCCCTCCTGATTATTCTTTCCTCTTCCTGCGGATTATTGATGTTTCTGTTTCTAATTCTTCCACACACCCTTGTGTTTTAGTGGCTTTACTGCTTTGCATGGGGCGATGCCGATTAAAAAAATGCTCTAAGTATTCGGTAATGTACTTCCAGACTTAGTGTCTGCAGTCATTGCGGTCTTCATACAGGTTGCTGTGTTCACGGTAAGGTGGGTACCAGTGGGGAAGGATAACTTGGGTCCAGGGTATGCAGTCGCGAATATTTTTTCATGTACGGCCTACTGTAATATTTCGTCACTTACCATTTGTCTGTCAACAATACTACAAGCTACTTGCTACTTCAACAGCTGCTAAGAAGATGAGAACCCCTCACAAAAAGTTGTTTTTCACTGCTTTTTGAGAAAAAAAAACAACAAATTTTTGCGTCATGGTGGGGTACCTCTTTCTGTTATGGGCGACCGATAGCAAAAAGTATTTTTTTTTTATATTCTCCGCGCAGAATTTGTTTCTTCAATATCCTCGTCGCCAGTGTTATGGTCCAAGGTTAGGACCATAGAAGAACAACACGGATCACAAGAGTAGAAATAACAAAGAATATATGGCTGTCAGATTGGTTAGGAGTGAACTACTATCAGCTCGACCCGATTCAATGCCGTCCGTCTGTCTTGAGAGGCGTAGTATACATAGCGTTAGGAAGAGTTCATTCTGTCGATCTAGGTAAGGACCCATGACACTTTGATTACGGGGAACCATATTACAGGAGAATCATAATTACCAACGCCCTGAAGGGACACAATTCATAAAAGAAGGGGCACGAAAATTGCTGTATTATCATGAACAAAGGAGAGGAGATATAACTCCGATTGCATCGTGAACCTGGACCTAAGGCATGCAAATCTGATATCTGATATTTGACGCCCCTGAAGATGAACAATCGTCCGGAGGCTTCGACTTGTCATTTGTGTCTATTTGATTGGTTTCAAGACGAATTGGTTTTTGAGAAGAGGGTTGACATTAACGGAAAGTCACAAAGAACGAGTCTACGTGAAATCGAAAAGGAACTTCAAATAATCAAGACATGTTCGCCAGATCGACTTGTTCGTCGCAATTCACAAGGCACGTAGAAAAAGAAGATTGCATGAGCGTGTGTAAATCTCAGCAGACGAGGAATTGGGAGAGTCATTATAATGGCAATAAATACTGCAAAGGTCAAGAAGTTGTGGAGAGCCATGATCGCCAACATCCTGGAGGGACACAGCGCGTAGAAAAAGAAGATTGTATGAGTTTGTGTAAATAGTTAGCAGACGACGGATTAGGAGAGTCATTAAAATGACAAAAATTACGGCAAAGTTCAGGAAGTTGTGGAGAGCCATGATCGCTAACGTCCAGGAGGGACATGGCACGTAGAAAAAGAAGATTGTATGAGTGTGTGTAAATGTGAGCAGACGAGAGATAGTAAAAAGAACAAAATTTACTAAGAGCTACGCATGTCAGGAAATCGTGGAGAGCCATGATCGTCAACACTCTGAAGGGACACGGTACATGCAAAAAGATGAAGTATCAGCTTGTGCAAATGGTTAGCAGAACAGGGATTGGGAAAGATAGTAAAACGTCTAAATTTAGTAAGACCTACAAAGGGCAGGAAAATGTGGAGGACCATGATCGCCTATGGCCTGAAGTGACGCAGTACTAAGAAGAATAGGTATGCACATCGCGGTATTCTCCTGAACATATTACGTGGGGAGGTATAACTCCGATTGCATCTAAGGCAGGCAAATCTGATAACAGACACCTGACGTCACTCAAGATCAACAATCGTCCGAAGGCTTCGACTTGACATTTGAGACTATTTGATTGGTTGCAAAAGGAGAAGAATGGGTTTTTGACAAGAGGATCGACATTAACGGAATATCGCAAAGAATGAGTCTAAGTGAATCGCCAAGGAACTTCAAAATAATCAAGACATGCTGTTTTCAATATGAAAAACTTTGGTAAACTTTTGGAATAAGTCAAATGAAATGAATAGAAACTAAGTGTGGCATTGATTATCCAATTGCAAATAAACAGCAAATAACGGACAAACGGAGCATTAATAATGAAGCTTCAATTAATACAGGTAAGAATCATTAGGGACCTAAATCGTTGTATTGCAACAGGAAGGCCATCATTAATCAAAGACAAATCAGGCGAAAACACAAACGCAAAAGAACAGCTGGTTTGGAATAACGGAATAATTGAATAGTCGAATAACGGAATAATTGAATAGTCGAATAACGGGAATAATGGAAAATATCGACCGAGGAAAGCCAATTAGAATTATAATATAGAATGTTGCTTAATTTTTACTGTGAGACTAAGTATTTAACTCTGTACTTTGTGGAAGATAGATAGATAGATAGATAGATAGATAGATAGATAGATAGATAGATAGATAGATATGGACGAGAGATATGAAAAGAATAAGATAGATGATAGATAGATAGATAGATAGATAGATAGATAGATAGATAGATATATAGATAGATAGATAGATAGATAGATAGATAGATAGATATGGACGAGAGATATGAAAAGAATAAAAGATAGATAGATAGATAGATAGATAGATAGATAGATAGATAGATATGGATGAGAGATATAAAAAGAATAAGACATAGATAGATAGATAGATAGAAAGACAGACAGATATGGATGAGAGATATGATGAGGCTATGACATAGATAGATAGACAGACAGACATGGACGAGAGATATGAAAAGACGAAGGCATTGACAGACAAACAGACAGACTGACAGAAAGAAATACAGATGGAGCCGAGAGATATGAAAAAGATAGATAAATAGAACTGAATTCTAATGTAAAATGTTGCTTAATATTTATCGAGGAACTAAATATTTAACTATGTACTTCGAGGAGTAGATAGACAGATAAGTAGACAGACAGATAGATAGCTAAATAGATAGATAGGCATTGGTTATCCAATAAAAAAAAAAAACTGGTGCAAATTACGGACGAACGCAGCATTATGACTGAAGCGACTTTTAATACAGGTAAGAATAATCATAAACCTAAATTGATGCATTGCCACATGAAAGCCATCATTAATCAAAGATTAAAAAAAAAAGTCAAATCAGGCGAAAAAACATCTGATTTGGAATAACGGAATAATGGAAAATGTGCAAAAGTTATATAAACTGACGAAAGCCAATTGGAACTGAATGTTGCTTATTTTTTTCTGGGAAACCAAGTAATGTACATTGTGCAGTAGATAGATAGACAGACAGACAGGCAGATGGGGACGAGAGATATGAAAAGGCTCAGATAAATAGATAGATGGTGGATGAGCGATATATATATATATATATATATATATATATACATATATATATACATACATACATATATATATATATATATATATATATATATATATATATAGGTATATGTGTGTGTGGGGGGTGCGTGTGTCTGTGTGTGTGTATATGTATATATATATATAAATATAGATAGATACATGGAGACGAGAGATATGAAAATACTAAGATAGAACACAGATAAATAGTAGATTGTGAACAGGGACAGATAGATATTAAACAGATAAATAGTGAACGGTGATATATATATATATATATATATATATATATAAAGATAGAAAGATAGATAGATAGATAAGAGATTAGCATAGATAGATAGATAGATAGATAGATAATGAACAGAGCTATATGTCTATCTAGATTGAAGCATACTGGGATAGATAGATAGATCGCTCAGTACCTAGCTGGATCGATAGATATGAAGAGATTGACATACATAGGTAGATAGGGAGATAAACAGATAAAACCCGACTTAGTGAGCCGAAATACATAGATAGTCAACTGAGCTAGCTAGCTCGCTATGAGTATACTGGGATAGATAGATAGATAGATAGATAGATAGATAGATAGATAGATAGATAGATAGATAGATAGATAGATAGATAGATAGATGCTTACTGGAATAGATAAATACAGGTAAGAATCATTACAAACCTAAATCGTTGTATTGCAACAAGGAAGCCATCATTAATCAAAGATAAAAAAAAGTCAAATCAGGCGAAAAAACAAAGGCAAAAGACTGGAATAAATGAATAATGGAAAATGTACAAAAGTTATATATATTGTTGAAAGCTAGTTAGAACAGAATTATAATGTAAAATCTATTTTTTTATTGAACAACTAAGTCTTTAACTATGTACTTTGGGGTGTAGATAGATAGGTAGATACATAGTGGAACGAGAGATATGAAAAGACTAAGATAGATAGATAGATAGATAGATAGATAGATAGATAGATAGAGTGGCATTGATTCCCCAATTGAAAATAAACAGCTGGTGCAAATAATGGACGAACGCAGTATTAATATTGAAGCGCCTATTGATGCACGTAAAAATCATTAGAAGCAAGAAAGCCATCGTTAACCAAAGTGAAATCAGGCAAAAACACAAAGGCAAAAGTACACCTGATTTAGAATAACGGAATAACGGAATAATGGAAAATGTACACAAATTATCGAGAGTGATAAAAGCCAATTAGAACTGAATTATAATGTAAAATGTTGCTTAATTTTTACTGAGTAACTCTATGTATTCAACATGCGTATCAATAATATATTCAGATGGATATATATGTCTTATAAACCGAATTCCATTCAGAGTTTGTCTATATATCTGAGATGAGGTATTATGTACAGTATTTACATTAGTCGGACGATTGTTCTCATCTTTGCCGCCATATTTGTCACAACGTTTCGGCCGTTGTACGCTCCGGCCTTCTTCAGGTGGTTGGAATTGCTACGCCACAAAAATCTCCTGAGCCGACCAAGCATAGAAATGAATACAATATGGGAACCAGTAATAAGGAGTGCCAGAGAAAAGCAATGATAACAAAGTTGCAATATGGGCTCTGGTAAAAACATGCAATGATAACAGCAAAAATTGCAATATGAGCACTGGTAAAAAATGATGCTGAAAACATTAGGTTTATAATACCCAGAAATTCATACCCAGATGTTCTCAAGGACAGTGGATAAAGGCGTTGGTTAGATCCAGTGACAGACCCAAAGAGTGTGAGTTCAATACCCGGTTAAGGCAGTGGAGAACTTTCAGAGGGAAATTAACAGGAGATAACTGATAACTGACATCCATCAAACATGGCACGTGGAACTAGAACAGTCTACCCCAGTGAGCGAAATAAAATAAACTCCAACCACCTGAAGAAGGCCGGAGCGTACAACGGCGGAAACGTTGTGACAAATATGGCGACAAAGATGAGGACAATAGTCCGACTAATGTAAATTCCATTCAGTCTTGACAACCAATGATCATCGGAAGAGTGGGGATACAGACCTAAAAAAGAAGACATGCAAACCTTGATATCCCTTAAGGTTTAATTTTTTAATCGAATTCATCCCGAGTAAAACAGTAAGTCCATTGAGATACAACGGCGTTCTGGCTATGAAAGAATTCTAACACATAAATATTATTGATGATTAAGAAAAATGAAAGAGTAAGCAGGAAGACAGTAGATAACGATTGACATTGCAACTGGATTTTTGTTTTGGAGATCAAACCTGACTGGAAAGCATCGACCCGGAGGAGTGTTCCACAAGCGAGAAGTGCGAGGGAAGAGACTGTTAACATAGAACTTACGGTTACATCGAGCCAATTCAACTGTAAACCGATGGGACCTTCCTGCCAATCCTGCGTTTAAATTCATAAAGTCTAGGTAACACAGCGGATAGCGATATTTATTCTGGTTATATAGAAAAGTGTGGCACAAAGCCAAGAAGAATGGAGACAAAGGTTGGTCATTTTTCTGTCTTAACAATTAAACTTAACTAGCGATGATCTCTGACCCAAACATACCAAAATATTACTAACTCCAAAACAACGCATTCTTGCTTACAATTTGTACAACATCCAACAGAATGCTTCAGTTTTCTCCATGAAAATCCAGACAAGTCGCTATACGTACAATTCATGTCTGTGGTGATTAAACTATTTATAGAAAAAGGCCCAAGTCAGTCATTTCAAGTCAGTCGAGAATGTTAGTCCAAGAAATCACAATGAGCACCGGACCATATGTGGCAGCAATATTCGAGGCATGGACGAATGGTAGAATTATATATATGTAAGAGAGATTATTGAGAAAGAAATTGTCTGGTACGACACAATGAACCGACTTTCTTAGCAGATGATCTAGTCATGGATTCAATATAGTCTTTCCATTTTTTGTCAGTCGAGAACATTAGTCCAAGAAATCACAATGAGCACCGGACCATATGTGGCAGCAATATTCGAGGCATGGACCAATGGTAGAATTATATATATGTAAGAGAGATTATTGAGAAAGAAATTGTCTCGTACGACACAGTGAATTGACTTTCTTAGCAGCTGATCTAATCATGGATTCAATATAGTCTTTCCATTTTTTGTCAGTCGAGAACATTAGTCCAAGAAATCACAATGAGCACCGGACCATATGTGGCAGCAATATTCGAGGCATGGACGAATGGTAGAATTATATATATGTAAGAGAGATTATTGATAAAGAAATTGACTGGTACGACACAGTGAACCGACTTTCTTAGCAGCTGATCTAGTCATGGATTCAATATAGTCTTTCCATTTCATGTCAGTCGATAACGTTAGTCCAAGAAATCACAATGAGCCCCGGACCATATGTGGCAGCAATATTCGAGGCATGGACGAATGGTAGAATTATATATATGTAAGAGAGATTATTGAGAAAGAAATTGTCTGGTACGACACAGTGAATCGACTTTCTTAGCAGCTGATTTAGTCATCGATTTATTATAAGTCTTTCCATTTCATGTCAGTCGAGAACGTTAGTCCAAGAAATCACAATGAGCACCGAACCATATGTGGCAGCAATATTCGAGGCATGGACGAATGGTAGAATTATATATATGTAAGAGAGATTATTGAAAAAGAAATTGTCTGGTACAACACAATGAACCGACTTTCTTAGCAGCTGACCTAACGATGAATTCAAGCCGAGAACGTTAACCCACGAAAGGTCCAATGAATCAATTTTCTCCAGGTTTTTATTTAGCCATCTTCTGACTTTTGTCATCTTCCGATATATCATTCATATTAATTGGCTAGTAGTTATTCCCTATTGGTTATTACTTTTGCCAAGAATTTTTTCATATCTTTTTCTGTTTGGCTTCTGGTTTCTCTGTAGAATTTCATTACGTCTCTTTCAAATTTCTTGTTCTGTCTGTAGAATTTTTTCGCGTTTCTCGAGCCCTCGGAAAATCTATGTTTTAGCTTGGATTTTTTAAAAATCGACTTCACCCTAAGCACGACAATAAAATCATAAAGACAGAAGAGGTTACGGGAGTGTGAGGGAATTAGGAAATAGAAACATATGTGGAAGCAATATTCAAGGTGTGGACGAATGGTAGACTTATACATATATATGTAAAAGAGATTATGGAATGAAAGATTGTCTTGCACGTCCTAGTGAACCAATTCTTTTAGCAGCTGATCTAGCAATGGATTCAATATAATTTTTGCATTTTATGTCAGCCGAGGACTGCAGTCCAAAATGCATAATGTGTCACTTTTTTCGCGGTTTTTATTTAACCATTTTTCATTTTTATTTATTTTTATAAATTTTGAAATTTTTTACTTCATTTTTATTTATTTATTTTATTTATTTTTATTATTTTTATTCATTTTTATCATTTTTTTATTTTTTATTTATTTTTTATTTACTTATTTTATTCATTTTTATTCATTTATTTTATTCATTTTTTATTATTTTTATTTATTTTTAACATTTTATTATTTATTTATTTATTTATTATTTATTCATTTATTTTATTCATTTTTATTATTTATCATTTTTAATTTATTTAATTTTATTTATCTATTATTTATTTGTTTTAGTCATATTTATTGTTTTTATTTATTATTATCATTTTTTTATTTTATTTATTTTTTATTTATTTATTTTTTAATTCATTTTTATAATTTTTAATTATTTTATCATTTTGTAAATATTCATTTATTTATTATTCATTATTTATTTGTTTATTTTATTCATTTTATTATTTTTATTTATTTTTATCATTTTTAAGTTTTTATTTATTTATTATTTATTTATTTATTTTATTCATTTTTATTATTTTTATTTATTTTCATTTAACCATTTTAGAACCTTCCTTTTGACTTTTGTCGTCTCCCAATATGTTATTCCTAAATATGGCTATTCTGTTTGCCAAGACTTTTTTTTCTTATCTCGTCTAACTGTTTGGCTTCTTATTTCTCTGTAGAATTTAATTACGTCTGTAAGGAAATTAGGAAATGGAAACATTACTAAGGGGAGAGAACAATAGAAGCCAGTCGATTACGATTGACATTATATTTACATTTTTGAAGATCAAGCTTGTCTGGAGAGGAAAAGGCCAGGAAGGAGTTCCATAAGTGAGACGTGTGGGAAAAGTAACTGCTAGCGTAAAACTTATGATTATATCGAGGCAATTCAACTAGAAATCGATGGAACCTTCCTGGCAATCTAGTACTGCGCTTAAATTCCTAAGTCTACCACAGCGGATAACGATATTTATTCCGCTTATATACAGAAGAATGGGGACAAAAGTTGGTCTTTTTCTGTCTTAATTAAATCTAGCTCGCCAGGATCACTAACCCAAACATACAACAATATTGCTAACACCAAAATAACGCATTCTCACCATTCTTACAACATTCACCATAATACCTCAGTGTCTTTATGAAATTCTAACTAGTCACCATATGTACAAATCATGTCTGTAGTAAGTGGTGAATAAAATAACAATTAAAAATAATATAAACTCCAATGAATATTTACAAATATAAAACAGAGCGATCATCTAAACAATTACTATGAAAGTATTCATAGAAAAGACACAGGGAATCAACTTTACCGCGGTAGGAAAGTGACTGAAACTCAGGTCATGACCAATAATATTGCTGATGCTTGCTTGTACTTTTATCAAGAATATCTAAATATATAGCAGGGACGCCTGACCATATGTGGCAACAATATTCTAAGCATAGACGACTGTTAGATTTACAGATATGAATGATAGATTCTGTAAGAGAAAAAATATCTAGCAAGTTTGCTTCATATCTTTCTATTCGGGAATTTTTTCGTTACACTTCAAATGATATTTTCTCTTAACTCTACGTACTGTTTCATTATTTCTTTGATGTTTCTCCAAAATAGATATTTCTCTTCTTATTTGTTTTATATATTTTTCTTGATGTTTAGCTTCCATCTTGTTTTATTATTTAGTAGCCAGCGTGTCTTCTTCTTCTGGTTTATTTCACACCTTGACTGAAGAATTTTTGCAGCTTCTTATATTAATTTGTTTTGTTCAGTCAAATTAGGTTTTGCTGCATTGCATAATTCGCTTAAAGTAAAATTTCCAACAAAAATTGTATGTTTAAATTAGCGCTTATTTCTGATTTTGAAAAGAATCCCTCGATGTCGATGGGGGCTACTTTTACAAGCTCTTCAAATATTTGTTCGGATTGTTGTCCTCAACTTTATTGCAATATTCACGATGTTTCGCCTGTTGTACGCTCAGGCCTTCTTCAGCTGACTGGAATTTCGAATTGAACCCTTTGTTTCGTCCATCTGGGGTAGATTGTTCTTGCTCTACATGCCATGCCTCTTCCGGATTATTTCCCTTTAACCCAATTCTCAAAGTTTTTCTTCACCACTGCTGCAGCCAGGTATTGAACTCACAACCCTTTGGCTCAAGTCACTGAATCCAAGCATCGCTTTTATCCACTTGGCCATGTATTTTTCTGCCTTATCAACTTAATATCTCACTACATTTTTTTTACCAGAGCTCATATTGCAATTTCTGTTGTTATTATTGCTTTTCTCTAGCACTCCTTATTACTGGTTCTCATATTGTATTCATTTCTATGCTTGTCCGGCTCGGGAGATTTTTGTGGCCTAGCATATGTGCTGATTCCTTAAGTTTTCCTATTTTCCAGTAATGTTCTCTACTAATTCTGCGCATATTTCTGATTTTCAAAACAGTTTCTCTCTATATTATTATTATTATTATTATTATTATTTGTGTCTGCTTTGTATCCTGTAGAGCCGGGTCCAAACTATGGTCTTTACGCCCTATAGGAGAATTGTCATTTAATTGATAACACTTTGTTTAGTATATGGTGTGTTCTTAATCGGGCAATCTTCTGGGCAACTTGTATATTGATGTTACCTGGGACACTGTCAATAAAACTGTCCATTCCTTTTCTCACAAGGCCCAGAGCTCCGATTACGATTGGTACAATCTCAGTCTTCAGTCCCCACATCCTGTTAATCTCGATCTCCAATTCTTTGTATTTGGAAAATTTCTCGATAATTTTCATGGAGGTGTTTCTCTCAGATGCTACTCCTATGTCAATAAGTATACACTTCCTGAATTTCTTGTCTTTTATGGTAATATCAGGTCTGTTGGCTGTTATTTTCTTGTCATTTAGAATTGTCATGTCCCAGAGGATAGTTACATCGTTTTTCTGGATAAGTGTGTGTGGTTGGTGTTTAAAACATCTCTCAGTGGTTTCGATTTTGTGCTTCTTTCAGTTTCACATGTGTCGTTACTTTGTTATGTCTGTTGGTACATCCATTTTTTGTTAGTTCCGAACATCCTGAGTTAACATGATCGACAGTTTCTTCATATTTTCCCGCAGATCCTGCCTTTCGGTTTCGTTCCAGCCTTTATTAGGTAACAGTGATAGGATGTGCTTGCAAGGATTTGGTACTGAGCTGCAATAATACGGCCTTTTGTCTCAGCTTTCAAACGAGTGCTGTCACTGATGCGTTTTCAGTTGTTACACATCTACTTCTGTCGTTCTTTTTAGGTATTTGCCATGTAACGCCTCGTCGTCCCAGTTTATTATTATTATTATTATTATTATTATTATTATTATTATTATTATTATTTCTTTTGTATACTCGTTTCTGTCAGGGTCCGGACCAGAGATCTAAGGTCAGAGATCAGATGTGAATATACCGAGATAGATAGATAGATAGATGTTAAAAGACTGACATAGATGTTATTAGAGATAGATAGATAGATAGATAGATATGAAGAGACTGAGATAGATAGGTAGATAGATAGATAGATAGATAGATAGATAGATAGATAGATAGATATGAAGAGACTGAGATAGATAGATAGATAGATGTGGACAGACTGAGATAGATCTATATCCCAGTCTATTCAAATCTACATCTATCTATCTATCTATCTTCATCTATCTATCTATCTATCTATCTATCTCAGTCTATTCACATCCATCTATCTATCTCAGTTTATTCATCATCTATCTATTCATCTCTATCATCTATCTATCTACAATATATACAATGAACAAACAGAATGTCATGAAAATAACGTATTTTTTATACAAAAGTCAGTTCTGTTACCAACTTTGTTGTTTAAGGTCGCCCAATAGTATTATATTATTATAATATATTATAATATTATATTATAATATATATTATATATATATATATTGTTGGTCGACATCTGCTTCTTCCGTTCTTTTTAGGTATTTGCAATGTAACGCTTTGTACTCCCAGTTAATTATTATTATTATTATCATTATTATTATTGTTGCTTTATTTCCTTTGATTTCTGGTGCGTATAAATTTCTTTCCGGGTCCCAACCAGAGACCTAAGGTCAGAAATGGCATCATGACATTTTCCACTGAGCACGTTTGAAAAAAAGAAAAAATCACGCACATTTTACGTAGATAAAGCCTTTTGTAAGGTGTGGGCTGTACTTGTGGGTAAATATGCTTGTATTTCTTCAAGGCATATTATTATTATTATTATTATTATTAATATTTCCTTTGATTTCTGTTGTATACACATTTCCTTCCGGGTCACAAGCAGAGACCTAAGGTCAGATTATCATTATTATTATTAATATTTCCTTTGATTTCTGTTGTATACACATTTCCTTCCGGGTCACAAGCAGAGACCTAAGGTCAGATTATCATTATTATTATTAATATTTCCTTTGATTTCTGTTGTATACACATTTACTTCCGGGTCACAAGCAGAGACCTAAGGTCAGATTATCATTATTATTATTAATATTTCCTTTGATTTCTGTTGTATACACATTTCCTTCCGGGTCACAAGCAGAGACCTAAGGTCAGATTATCATTATTATTATTAATATTTCCTTTGATTTCTGTTGTATACACATTTACTTCCGTCACAAGAGAGACCTAAGTCAGATTATCATTATTATTATTAATATTTCCTTTGATTTCTGTTGTATACACATTTACTTCCGGGTCACAAGCAGAGACCTAAGGTCAGATTATCATTATTATTATTAATATTTCCTTTGATTTCTGTTGTATACTCATTCTTTTCCGGGTCCCAACCAGAGATCTAAGGTTAGAGATTTTCTGATCTGGACTAATGAGCACTGTCTGTTTTCCTTGTGTAGACTCACGTGTTTTAGTTTAATATTTTGTCTTTTTTCGTTGCACTAGACCCGCTTATTTTATGTTTTTGTTTGATCTTGTTTACTCAATATTTTTACATTTATTAAGAGCTACAAAGGACAGGAACTTGTGGAGGACCATGATCGCCAACGTCCTGGAGGGACAGGGCCCCTGGAGAAATATGAAGTATGAGCTTGTGTAGATGTTAAGTAGAACAGGGATTTGGAAAGATAGTAAAAAGACCAAATTTACTAAGATTGACAACGCTCAGGAAATCGTGGAGAGCCCTGATCGCCAACATCTTGAGGGGACCCGGCATATAGAAAAAGAAATGGTTATGGTGACCAGAGCAGGGACCAGGAAAGATAGTAAAAAGAGAAAATTTACTAAGAGTTACATAGGTCAGGAAATTGTGGAGAGCCATGATTGCCAACGTCCTCAAGGGACACGGTACCTAGAAAAAGATGAAGTATGAGTTTGTGTAAATGGTTAGCATGACAAGGATCGGGAGAGGTAGCAAAAAGAAAACATTTATTAAGAGCTAAAAAAGACAGGAAATCGTGGAGGACCATGATCGGCTATATTTTGAGCCACTTGACACCCGCCAAAACTTTTGGAGCGAGTAGCTGCAACGTTAAGGTTGAATTTTTTTGAAAATTTAAGAGAGTGCTTTTTTTTTTTAATAATATGGTAATTTGAGAATTATTTTGTTGTAGGAGTTTATCCGTCAATGTGGCATGAAGTAAATTGCTCAATAAATAGAATAATGTCTTAGCTGAGACATTACACTATTTATCGACTACACGCTCCCAAAATTTTTTTATCCGTTAACTAAAAAAAAAAACATATTTCGATTCGCATTTAATCTTTCGTCTCCGCTACTACCTGGATTTTACAAAAAACAAAATAATTTCCATGCCTGAAGATGACTGAATGTAAAGTTGAAAGTACTAGCAAATTATAAAAAGACCTTATACAACTTGTAGTTATTAAAAACAAGGATCATAACATTCATCGTGTGGTTCGTAGGTTAATGCAACTTTACAATTTTGTTTGCGAAGGATTTCGCCATTTTATATCATTAACTTTACTAATCTACTTTTTGTATGAATGATTCATGTAATATAAATTGAACTACACCACACACACACACACACACACACACACATATATATATATATATATATATATATATATATATATATATATATATATATATGCACATTTCATTGAATACGACAGACAAGAAAGTTTTATTTAGTTTTTTATACAATTTCTCATGCGATCTAATAATTTTTTTTCTTTTCGGATGATAAATTATATAAAAACTGTCCGAATGTTCTTTTTATCCGAGCGCTTTCGGCTATACATTTAGCTATTTTCAAGAATTAAATATTTTAACTGTTAAATAAGAAATAGTTTCTATTCACTATTTTAACATACTTGTTGACAACACAAATATAATAGCATCATCTACATGCAAAAAAAGGCTAAAAATAATGGAAGCCTTTTATTAATAAAAACAAAAACAAAAAAAAACAATAATATTAACTTTTGACTGTGTTTTGAAAAATGAAAACATTTTCTAAAACATACATACAACAAACTGTTTGCTATTTAACATTTAAAATATTTAATCCTTGGATTTTCTGATCTGGATTAGAGAACATTGCCTGATTTCGTTGAATATACTTGTATATTCTCGTATTATTATTTTTTCTTTTTTGTTGCCTGCTTTATTTTAGTTTTTGTCTGAAAGGACATGTCACATAGAAGAATAAGAATGCGAATTGCTGTATTCACATGAACACATTACGAAGGAAAATATATCCGACCGCATCGTGAGAGAGACAAGTTACACATGCAAATTTCCCATATTTTTGAGCCATTTGACACCAGTCTAGACTAACATCTTCCTAGATTAAGATAGACATGCAAATCTTTCATATTAAAGGATCAAGTCCAGCTTACATAAGGCCAGAAGACTTCAATTTGTCATTTCAGTTTGTTGATTACATTTTTTAAAAAAATCGGAAGAATTATTTTTAGGGGGGAGAGTTATTGAAGAGAATGATAGTCAGGGTATAGATATATACCTCGTTGGTTTTGTATTGTACTGCTGTTTTTTACTTGCTGCATTGGATTTTCTATCTTGGATTTTCTGATCTGGCTTAGTGAACACTGCTTGATTTCGTTGAATATACTTGCACATTTTCGTATTATTTTTTGTTTTTTATTCCTTGCATTATTTTAGTTTTTTGTCTAAAGGTACACCTCTCATAGAAGAAGAGGAATGCAAATTGCTGTATTCACATGAACACACTGTGTAGGAAACTAAATCCGACAGCATCGTGATACTGAACATAAGACATGAAAATCTAACATTTGACGCTCATCACGATTAACACGATCCGAGATTAAGGTACACATGCAAATTTTCCATGCCAAATGGTCAAAGTTTGCATGTTATTGATTTAAGTTTCAAAATAGAAAGAGTTAAGGTTGGAGATTATTGAAATTATTGAAGAGGATGACATGGTATCGAACTGTTCCTTTCGGCTTTGTACTGTTAAGCCGTTTTTTTCCGGGATTTAATTTTTCTGTCTTGGATTTTCAGATCTGGGCTGTTTTCCTTGAGGGAATCTTGAGGACGAAGACCGCCTACGTTTTGAGCCATTTGACACCAGTCTAGACTAACATCGTTCTAGATTAAGATAGACATGCAAAGGTTTCATATTAAATGATCATGTCCAGATTATATAAGGTCAGCAGACTTCAACTTGTCTTTTCAGTTTGTTAATTACAATTTTTAAAAAAATCGGAAGAATTTGTTTGAGGGTGGACAGTTATTGAAGAGAATGATAGTCAGGGTATAGATATATACCTCGTTGGTCTTGTATTGTGCTACTGTTTTTTTTTTACTTGCTGCATTGAGTTTTCTATCTTGGATTTTCTGATCTGGCTTAGGGAACACAGCCTGATTTCGTTGAATATACTTGCATAGTTTCGTATTATTTTTTCTTTTTGGTTGCCTGCTTTATTTTAGTTTTTTGTCTTAAGGTACAACTCTCATAGAAGAAGATGAATGCAAATTGATGTATTAACATAAACACACTGCATAGGAAAGTAAATCCGATCGCATCGTGATACTGAACATAAGACATAAAAATCTAATATTTGACGCTTATCACGATTCAATATTATTGAAGAGAATGATAGTTAGGGTATAGATATATACCTCGCTGGTTTTGTATTGTGCTGCTGTTTATTACTTTCCGCATTGAATTTTCTATCTTGGATTTTCTGATCTGGGCTGTCTGTTTTCCTTGAGGAAATCGTGGAGGACCATGACCGCCTACGTTTTGAGCCAAGGGCGGGGAATTAAGGAAAGGAATGACTGACAGGTTTAGTTTTGTATTGCACTGCTCTTTTTTTTTTTTACTTCCAGGACTGAATTTTTCTATCGTGGATTTTCTGATCTGGCTTCGGGAACACAGCCTGATTTCGTTGAATATACTTGCATTTTCTCGTATTATCATTTATTTTTCTTTTTGCTACCTGATTTATTTTATCTTTTTGTCTGAAAGGACATGTCACATAGAAGAATAAGAATTCAAATTGCTGTATTAACATGAACACGTTGGAGGTATAAATAATGCAGAACATTAGACATGCAAATCTGATATCTGATTCTTGACACCCGTCAAGACTTACACGTCCTAGATTCAGGGACACGGGGAATTTTTTTTTTCCATATAAAATGATCAATAACAGATTGCATAAAGCCTTGGGGCTTCAACTTGTTTTTTTTTTTGGGGGGGGGGGTTAACGTACGTGATTCGCTTCAAAACGTGTTCAGTGGGTTCGGAGAAAAAAAATGTAAATTATCGAAATATCATGAAATCGTTTAATCGCTACTTGACTTTGAGCATCAAGACATGATGTTGAAGGCTTGTTGATTTTGAGAACGTTTTTGTTATATAAATGTTCTGTAGGTCTTTGAAATTAGACAAAAGATCAAAGAAAAGCTAATAAAGTTACCAGTATCCAGGTCAAGATTAACAGCAATTCTATATTCTTTGAAACGTTTTATATATATATATATATATATATATATATATATATATATATATATATATATATATAGTAGTAGAGCAGGCGTTGCCTGGGGATGTAATAGTAAGAGATAGATCAAGTATCGACCATCATAAAGACTGAAAAATAAAATTGCCAAAGATTATTGTTTAAGGTTGACGGACATACATGTTTTAATTAGTTTTTTATTTTTTTACGAATTGGTCAAACCCAAACTCAAACAAAAACATTGTTTTCAATCATTATGAGTCTAGCGATTGAATAGAATTTTATTATAAACAATTGTCTTTAAATGGAATTTTTAAAGCATTCTGAATGTAAAAATAAAGAAAAAAGTGTGCAAGACAATAAGAAACACAACCTGCGAAAAAAAAAAAGTGAAGTTTTGTTGAAATTGGTTGAAAAATGTAGGAAATCCGATCCCATATATAAACGAACACACACACACACAACCTGTGTTTTATAATAAGTATAACTCGATATGAGTTGTCCCCCTTTCATTCTGGCGACAGAATCGTGTTTTATCGTGTTTTCAAATTGATTTAGTGCAAAAACAGTTTTTTTTCCAATTTTTGGCACTGTCAGAATCATCGCAAGGTAATTTTACGTATTCTTGTGAAGTTTTGTTGAAATCAGTTGAAAAATGTAGGAAATCCGATCCAATATATAAACGTACAGACAAACACACACACAATCTGCGTTTTATAATAAGTAACATACATATATATATATATTTGTCATATATATATATATATATATATATATATATATATATATATATATATATATAGATATATCTATATATGACAAATGGAAAAACGTTTCACTGAATATAATTTTGCTCTTAATTTTATATATATGTATATGTGTGTGTGTGTACGTTTTTAGAATAGGATACAGAAATTCTGATACATTTTTAAGAAATTTGACAAATAGGAAATGTTCGATTGAAAATAGGTTTGATTGAAATTAGATTTCATAAGGCGTTTCACCATTTAAGCGTTCACCAGATCCAAAAACGAAAGAAAGAAAGACATGTGTATTTGCATGTGTATTTGTGTGTATGCTTAAATAATAAATAAGTACTTTTTCCTTAAGCTAGAGTTTCCTGTCATTAAAGAAGAAAGAAAACGCCTGACTTAAAAAAAAAGCCGTTAATATTTATTCTGTATCATTTCTTCATAGTTTTTAGTACATGTTGTTAATATATTTTCCTAGTTTTTTTTTTTTATCGAATTAAAGGCAAATCATCATCGCATTTTCAGAATGATTTGAAAGCACGAAATTCACAGCGTCTTTTCTGAAATAAATCTAACAATACTTAAATAATGAATCATAGTACTTTTTCCCTATTTTCAAGCAAATCTATATTCAATGAAACGTTTTTCCATTTGTCATATATATATAAATATATGTATATATATAATTATCTTTTTAAAAATATAATTCCATCGCTAGACAGAAGTTACTGTTTCGAAACTTGACTCAAGTCCTCAGTATTAAACTTAAAATTTAGAGTACAGTTTCATTCTCAAGCGATGTTCAGAATAACTAGCTAAACATATTTAAAAAAAAAATAATTACAATTTAAGTTCTAAATCTGTTTCAAGGACTGTTTTTTTTTAAATAAAAAAACATAAATACTAAAGAAATTTGGATCAGTAATCTGTTCTTTCCTATTATATCAATATATACACACTGATAATTACTCACACAGTTATTTATATATATATATATATATATATATATATATATATATATATATGTGTGTGTGTGTGTGTGTGTGTGTGTGTGTATTACAAAATTAGGAGACCAGCCAATTCGATTTTCTAACGCTTTATTTAAAATTTAATGAATGCTATATTATTTCTAAATGAATAAATAACCATGCATATATATATATATATATATATATATATATATATATATATATATATATATATATATATATATATATTTTTTTCCTTCTTCCTTTAATACATCTACGATATGCTTGCGTTTCTTCACTTCTTCTTCGTTTATGTGCCATGCTCTTCAGGGCGTAAGCGATGATGGTCCTCCACATCCTCCCGTTCCTTGTAATAATTTGATTTTTCTTTTTGTTCTTTCTCCCAGACCTTGTTCCGCCATCTATTTGGCTCAAGTCCATTAAGTATATCACGAGTTGCTTTCTTCTGTTCCTCCTTATCTCTCTCCGACCCGTGAGTATCTGATTTTCCAGGCCCTCCTTCCTCATTAGATTCCCCAGAAAGTTCACCTGCCTCTTCCTGATGTTAAGTATAAGTATCCCTTTCCATTTCTCTAAAACCTCGTCCTTGCTCACATGTTCCCTCCATGGTATCCTCATCATCTTTCTGTAGAAATTTCAATTGTCTCTTCCTGATGTTAAGTATAAGTTTCCTTTTTGTTTCCATTTTCTCTAAAACCTCGTCGTTGCTCACATGTTCGGTCTATGGTATCCTCAGCATCCTTCTGTAGAAATTTCAACTGCCTCTTCTTGATGTTAAGTATTAGTTTCCTTTTTGTTTCCATTTTCTCTAAAACCTCGTCGTTGCTCACATGTTCGGTCCATGTTATCCTCATCATCCTTCTGTAGAAATTTCAACTGCCTCTTCCTGATGTTAAGTATAAGTTTCCTTTTTGTTTCCATTTTCTCTAAAACCTCGTCGTTACTCACATGTTCGGTCCATGTTATCCTCAGCATCCTTCTGTAGAAATTTCAAATGCCTCTTTCTGATGTTAAGTATAAGTTTCCTTTTTGTTTCCATTTTCTCTAAAACCTCGTCGTTACTCACATATTCGTTTCATGGTATCCTCAGCATCCTTCTGTAGAACCACATTTCTGTTGTTACAAGCATCTGGATTGTGAAAAAAAACAGTGATAATTAAACAAAAAATCTTGACATACTAAGAAAACATTAGGTAAAAGAACCTTTTCTATACGATAATGAAAATAGGTAAAAATTCTCGAGAATTTTCCTTCTCTTAAAAATGAAGTTAACTTACTTAGAAAGGAAATTTCTCGAGAGTGCCGCTATCGATTCTTATCCAAATATAAATCTGCAACTCGGATTTTTTTCAGTATCTCCATTTCATAAAAATTGGATGAGCTTTTGAAATATTAACATAAATCCAAAGGGACATAATACTTCATCAAATAACCCTAAACATATCAGCAATCAAATGCATTCTAACTATAAACAAGATGAAAGAAAAAAAATCCTTAAAAATCTCGTAAGTACGATATATATTTTGATAAGATTCGATATCGACACAATCGAGAATTTTGCTTCTAAATGTTACTTTCTTTCTATACGGATGCCATACTTATTAAAACTTATTTAAAAAGCAAATTCTCAAGAGTGCATCTATTGAATCTTATCGAAATATAAATCTGCAACCTGGATTATTTTCAATATCTCCGTTTTAGAAAAATGACTACTTTCCCATAAACAAGATTCATGACTACAATAATATAGATGTATTTATTTAATTTTATACCGATTTTTTACAGTTGTCTAATCAGTTTCTTGATGTTAAGATGAAATTCATCTTGGATGCGTCGTAGTTTTTGTTCATTGATGAACAAATTAGACGAGCCATTAGAAATATTAACATAAACCCAAAAGGACATCATACTTCATCAAATAAACCTAAATATATCAAGCTACTATACAGCAATCAAATGCATTCTAACTATAAACAAGATCAAAAAAATCCTTGAAAATCTCGTACAATTTATATTTTGATAAGAATCGATAACGACAGAATCGAGAATTTTGCTTCTAAAGGTTACTTTTTTCTTTTATGAATGCCATTCTTATTAAAACTTATTTAGAAAGGAAATTCTCGAGAGTGCCTTTATCGAATCTTATCAAAATATAAATCCGCAATCCGGGTTTTTTTTTTTCGAATATCCTGAAAGAATTACTACCTATTTAAACCAACGTACATGACAATAAAAATTTAAAAAAATACTTTAAAAAAACGGTTAAATTCATAACCTCGTTTCATTCAAAATATATAATTATTCTGACTGTTATCCTCATCTTCATTGCCATATTTACAACGTTTCGGCCGTTGTACGCTACGGCCTTATTCAGGTGTTTGGATCACTGAGAAGAGGTATTACGATTACTTGCATTATTTACATTATTCAGACCCTTATACTCATCTTCATTGTCATATTCACAACGTTTCGGCCGCTGTACGCTACGTCCCTCTTCAGGTGTTTGGATCTCTGAGATGAGGTATTATGATTACTTGCATTATTTACATTATTCGGACTGTTATCATCACCTTCATTGCCATAATCAAAATATATTGACCAATGATGATGAAACCAATACCCTTTTACCCCTTATTATTAATGATTAAATTTCCCCGTACCCTTGACAACTAATAATATCAAGATTGTATGTGCTTATAAATCCAGAAATTTCAAAATAAGTTATTACAGAAATCGCTTGAAAATGAAAATGAGATAACGATTTTAGATTTAATTCTATAATTAAATTTAAAGTTTAGTTTCTGTCTTTGAAACACGGTTATTCCTGTGTAGCGATGGAACC